CAAACCAAATGAAAGCCTGCTCATCCTTCCAGAACTGTCCAAAGGCCACTTCTTCTGAGATGTTGTTCCCAATACCACAGTTAGAGTCAATCGCTGCTTGCACAGTCCTTCCACAGTTCTTGACTTATGCCGGTATTTTGCCCTGATCACAATCTGCCTGGCCTGAAAACTGTTTGTCTCACTGACTCTTGGAAATCCTTGGGAAGCAGGAATCAACAAAGAGGGAATACAGGCCAATGGTTAAAAGCAGGAGCTTCAGAATCAGAAAAAAAGTCAACTTGGACTCTGACTGTGACTCAACTTCCATAAGATCTCTGGAAAGTTAACCATTAGGAATCTTAGCTTTTTGATCTCTCTATGATATGGGAGAGTATGCTTTGTACTCAGATCTCCTGGTTCAAATCTGGGGCTCATTACTTTACCTATTCATGTCTACATTGTTGTTGTTGTTTTCCTGTAAAACAAAGATAATAATACAGCAATTATCTCACCATAACAAGTAAGTAGTTAATTTATATAAATTATTTAGAATCATGTACGGGGAGCAAATAAGCTCTCAATAAATGTTAGCTATTTTTAATATCATTATCCTATAGAGTTGTAGTAAGAAAAACATGGCCTACTGCTTGTAGGGAGGCAAGCAGATAGTAGATGCTGAAAAAATGGTCGCTATTACTGTGCTATTACTGTGCTCTCCCTGCACTTGGCACAATGGCTTGTGCTTAGAAAGTGTCCCCAAAATTATTGTTCAATGGAATGCAATGTTTTGTAAGGAAAGTATCATAGCCTAAGAATCAAGAACATGACAATAAATGTATAATGTGGCAACAAAATAGGGCCAGTACAGTCCTTGTCTAATCCTTAGCAGTTGCTCCTCTTGTCTCTTGAAGGTTATCTAGCAGCTTGTATGAAGCAATATTTTTTATCAATAGATGAAATATAAAAATATACCTCCATGCTTGGTATTCCCTTTAGCTGGCCCTGCATACCATGTAGAGGGGAAAAATACTAAAGAAGATGTACTAAAATCTTCCACTCTCCCACCGGAGTTTTAAACAAGTCAGAGCGTTACAATCATTTATAGAACACAGACCGGCAGAAGTAGGAGTCTGAGCACAGGAGAACTGGTAAGCGTGGCCTCCTAAGATTTTCTCTCTCAGAGAAACATATAGAACAATGACTGATTTATAGCAGTTCATAAAGTATAAATGAACCTGACATGTAGGTTAATGAAGGTGCTAGCAAGCTATAAAAGCTGTGTCTGTAAAGAGATGAGACTGTTTGGTGCAGCTTATCAATTTGGGCACATTTTTATACATGTTTTCAAATTATGAAGACAGAAAACTGATCATATGATTTACATGACTGTTTCCAGTAGGGCTATTAGAATTAAAGAGGCTCTATATCCAAAATCCAAAATCAGTGCACATAATCTGAGAGTGATCCAAGAGAAGAATAGAGTATTTGGAATCAGCATTTCCTTGGACAAAGCCTTAACAACCAAAGAAGATAACCTCTCCTTACTTAAAGTCACGCTCATATTTGAAGTAACCTACTTAAGGACATCTTGTCATTGTACCATGACATACTGCGATAAAACTGAATTTTAACCATTGACCTCTGGGATGGTACACATCACATTAGTGCCTATTGTTTTGAATTTATGACATATGTAGTGTCCATATAAAATATGAAAATACATTCTTATAAGCTTTCTATTGACTCTAGGATGAACTTAAGAAATAGTTCATAGAAATTTCTTTTATCTTGTTGTCAATATTAGTTTCTTCTATACATTTTCAACAATGATTTCAAGAAAGAAATGCATCCGGATTTTAAGAAATGATCATTCTTCTTAAATGCCAGCTTTGTTGAAATGAAAACAATGTTATTAAGCCATAAGCAAAATAAGCATTCTCGGGGGGGTTTTATTATTTCTCCCTTTGTGAAAATAAAGAGGGTTTCAATGAACTCAAATGAAACAGTGAAAGAAATGCGGAAGCAGAGTTGCTGTTGTAAAAGTAAATGATATAATTTAAATGCAGCCAACCATGAGAAATATAGTTGACAATGGACATAAGATACTCATTTTTTCAGTACATGCTTATCTTGTGATAGCAAGATATTTTTAGCCAATTATCTTGCTCAACTGACTAAGCATCTCCTACCTCATTTAGTTGAATAAAGATGTAGCAGAGGACCTTCAGCAAGATATAGTGATTTTACAGTGGCATACAGACAAGGCAGAAACAAATCCTTGATGGAAAATAGTTATTTTTTCCAAAGCAATATGACACCTAGCAAAATCTGTGTGGCTGTTTTCTAAATGGAAAACGCACAGCCATCGAATTCTCAATTACTTTGAATATTTGGGTAAAGACTCGAGAATCAAATATCAAAAATTTAGTTGGAAAATTAACTGGAAAAAGCTGCTTACCTTGTTTATCCTATTTTTTGCTAAAATTTTTATTTTTGTTTTAAGGCACTATGCTTTTTTTCTAATTAAATAAATATATACATTCTTCAACAATGACAAAAATATTTAAGAAACTATTACTCTCATTATTTCTTATCAAATGAAGTTAACTACATAGCAGGTAAAGTGTTGAATTTGTGGGATTAAGAAAACTTAAAGAAAAAAGTGACAAAAAATACACTAAAACCTATAGTGTCCTTAAAAGAGTAGTTTAAGTTTTGGGGTTGTTTTTTTTCCAAGAAATAATACAGTTTAGGATCTCTTTAAGAGACATAACAAAGATTTGGGGGAACACATCTTTCAAGATCAACAATTCAATTCCCTGAAGACTCTAAATAATTTTCTTTTGTTTAATGGTCAGGCATTTCTTGCCCTGTGATAAGATAAAATTATCTATTGTTAAGAATCCTAGTGTATTTTTTTTATTCAACATGAAAAAATATATTTGAGGATTTTTTTCTTTTGTTTTTTAAATTGGAGGACTATTATTAGGAATCATTTCTTGCAGCTGCTCATCTCTTGGATCTATGGTCCAAAGCCAGAAATGTAAGTGACAATAGCATTGCTACTGAACTTGACTGGACTTTCAAAACAAAGAGCATAGTTAGGTCTTTGAATAAGACAGATCACTTTAAATGAAATAGAAGACAGGTATTTGGCCCAGACAAGTAGTCTCTTGAAAGTTGGCCACCAGGTTTACCAAACCTCCTCTAAACCAATAGCTTCTGCCTCCTTCAGGTTATCCCTGTTCTCCAGGATGCAGAGAAGAAGGCTTTATCTGTATTATGAAATACACCAAATAATTCAAACAAATCTTCACTTTTCAGAAGTCCTTCCAAAAATGTTTAAAAAATTATTATGTTTTCCTTAAAAATGAAAGATGGCCAGATGAAGGCTCGAGTAGTAAGAGACAGTCAGTGAGTCAAGAGGTGCTTAGGCCTCTTTGGCTCCTCAGCTCCCTTTCTGAAAATAAGTTCTTTCTATATCTGTGAACTCTGGAGGAAAAAAGTAAAACTTTATTGGTATTACCACAAAGGTTCCTGAGTTTTCACATTTCTGTTTCTCAATACTTGAGAAAATAAAAAAATCTAGAATCCTTCATTTACAGCACCTTTTATCTCCATATGCAATAAAAATTAAATGTTAAAAAAAAATAATACCCAAATCGGGAGCACTGACAGCACTAACTTCTGGCGAGGCTGTGGAGCAGCAGGAACCCTTACACCTTACGCATTGCTGGGAATGCAAAATGGTACAGCCACTTCCAAAGGCAGTTTGTCAACCTCTTACAAAACTAAATACACTCTTACCATATGATCCGCTAATTGAGATCCTTGGTATTTACCCCAAGATGTTGAAAAGTTATGTCTACACAAAAACTTGCACAAGATATTTATAGAAGCTTTTTCATAATTGCCAACACTCAGAAGAAACCAAGATGTCCTTCAGTAAGCAAATGGTAAGGAAACTGTGATACATCCAGAAAATGGAGTATTACTCAGTGCTAAAAAGAAATGAGCTATCAAGCCATGAGGATACAGAGAGGAAATTTAAAGGCGATATAATTAAGTGAAAGAAGCCAATCTGAAAGTACTATATACCTTATGGTTCTAACTATCTGACTTTCTGAAAAAGGCAAAACTATGGAGACAGTAAAAAGATCTGTGGTTGCCAGGGGTTAGGAGAGAGAGGATGAATAGGTGGAGCACAGAGGATTTCAGGGCAGTGGACATACTCTGCATGATGCTACAATAATGGAAACCCATAGAATGTGCGATACCAAAAGAGAATCCTGATGTTACCTATGGACTTCGGGTGATAATCATGAGTCAATATAGGTTCATCAACGATAACAAATGTACAAAACTGGAAAACGATGTTGAAAATGAAGGAAGCTATGCATTTGTGGAGGTGGGGAGTACATGGGAAACCGCCAGACCTTTTACTACACTTTGCAGTGAAGCTAAGACTGCACTAAAAATAAAGTTAGAAAGAGAAAACAAACTATCAAAACAAAAGATTATGTATACTTATTTTCTCAATAAATTATGCCTCAAAATAAAAGCATAATTCCATCTTCAAGATGGAAGAGTGAAAAGATACTTTTGGGCGAGTGAGACTGAAAGGGGCATAAAGGAAAACAAAGAAAAACTCCACATTAGGTCAGTCTCCAGCCCAAGGGATAAATCAATAGACACAGAGATTTCCAGAAGCGCTGATTAGCAACAAAACTCAGTCACTGCATGAGAATGAGTTCTAGTCGCCAGTCTTGGGTGAGAGGCCCAACTTTGACACCACTGAATGCTATGTCCTTGGGGTAGTGAACTGACCTAGTCCTCGGCTCAGATTCTTTAAGTAAAAAAATTGGGAAAATAGCACTTACCTTATAGAATAAAAGTTTTTCTAGAACAAGGTTCATAAGAGATTGTAAAATATATAATGATATAAGTAATGTGCCTACAACTTGCGAACTTTATATACAAATTATTATATTTATTGATATAAGTAAGACAGGGTTTCTTACCAAGGTTGAATTCCAACTGTGGTTCATTTGGTGTCTTCTGAATACCTATAAATAATATGTAAGGATTCAGATTAAAGATATTTAAGTCATTATCAAAAATATATCACTGACTATTACTATGCTTCACCCTGCACAGAATATATTAATATATTATTTGGTAGAATAAATAAACTCTGTTGATCAGACTTACAAACAGTGGTTTCTCAAGGGAAAACATAATATTTGTAGCAGAACTAGATATAACTAAAAATTTGACTAATCTATTTAGCTCCATGGCCATAAAGAATCTCAGAAATACTGTTTTTGTAAGCTGTGACAAATATAAAACATTTTCCGCTGTGTCTATTTCTTTTGGATGCATGTAAAAAGAGATGCAACCTTCAAAAAAAGGTAACCACTCCAAAGCACTCTTCCATGTAGAATTTTCTTTCAAACCCTAACCCTATACATAGTAAATTACTATTTAAAGGGATGTCTCTAATTAGGTTCCGAAGGATATTATGCTGCTGGTTATACTGCCAGCTGATTGATAGCTCAAATCAACATTCTATTAAATGCCTCTATTTCTCTTGGAAATTTTTTTTTAAATCTAATAACACAGCTCAATGATTTAAGATGAAGTGGAAGGGAAAGTGAGTTCGAGAACAAAGGTGAGGAGATGGGAGCATCTAATGGTTAAAGGCAGAAAGACCAGGCTGGCGGGTGGATGCCTGAAGACCACACACAGCATGGGTGCTTCCTAAACAAGAGTGGATGACAACTGCGATGCCACTTGTTAGCACCCATGGTGGCCAAAGAGGCAAAACTAAATTATGGACAAGTAAACCATTTGGCAGCAATGTAAGAATATTATGTAAATCCTTTCCGTGTTCATTTTTTACCGGTGGATTCATCAGATACAATTTAAATTTAATAGTATCTGGTCACTAATATATTGTTAGAACTACTTCTTTGTATAAAAATCATTCATTTTTTTATTTACAGAGCTCACAGTTTTTGCATGGTAACCATTTTATTTTTTCTCCTGCTGACATTTAACAATGCTATGGTTAACAATTTTAGGCTTTCCAAAAGAGGTCAGAATGACAATCATTTGGTAGGTCTTTGTGCATTTCAAATAGTGTGGATTTTTTAAAAGGTTATTAACAATTAGCTCTGCTATAAGCTCTGACAACCAAATTTCTCAAAAAATGTATCCAACCAATACCATTTTCTAAAGATTATTTTCATAATGTAAATTAAATGAGAGGTTAGGCAAATGTTTGCCAGTGCTAATAACTGGGCAACAGGAATCTTCGGAAAAGAAAAAGACACAATTCATGCTAAACAATAAAACCCAAACCCTAGAATTTTAAACGTGAAAAACAAACACCATACAATTCCTCTGCTTTTAATTATGTGAGCAGCACAAATCCTAAATGTAATGTTCAGATGTAAATCCTGGCCAGACCTCCAAGCTTGCTCTCTTCATGGCACTTGGTGCTCAGGTAGGGCGGTGACAGCAGGGCAACAATTTTGCCCAAATGCTTTCCTTTCCACTTAAATGTTTTTGGTGTTAAAGAGAAAATGTATAAAATGTCTATGTTCCAAAAAATAATTCCAAGTGAGATTATGCAAATGCAAAATTAAGAAGTGTTTGTTAGTGTCTTAATACACATTCAGGAACTTTGATTCTACCATTTGACATTTAATGGTTGCATGGATATCATCCATCTCATTAAAGATGGTAAAAGATAAGAAGCATTTCACAGACTCACAACACCAAAAGAAGTAGTTCAAAGGACAAAAATTTAGTTAATCTTATGCCATTTGCTAGAGCCCCAGTTTCTGTGTGTTTGGTGGACCCAGTGTACATTCTCAGAGAGTTCCAAGGAAGGGCACAGAGATACTTACTTGTCAACTGAAGGTCCCCACTCTCATTTGCCTGGGGTGAGGGAAGGAAGTGCTGGCCTTCTTCTGATGCTCCTTCCTCTTTGATTTCCATGATCAACCTTCACAGTTGATTAATTTTCCAATTTGTTGTGCCCAGATGTCACTGCCAATGATTCCTGGTTTAATACTGACGTATCTTCACACTAAAGACCTGATATCCCACTCTGAAATCCTGCATTTAGGAAACATCAACAGCAAAGTTGTAGGTTACTTTAGAGTTTCACCTGAAGCTAAGAATCAAAGGTGGGTAGAAACTATAACTACCTGCCTGCTTATACCACTTCTACATTCAAGACCAATCCACCTAGTTAATGTACCAGGAACTCTGGGTTAAATGGGTATTTTCCCTGAAGTTATTTTATGGTCATATGAGGAAATTTAAATCCTGAAAGGTATACTCATTCTCTTCTAGTTCATTCTGTAAAACAGAGGGATGCTAACTTAAATGCACCTAATTTAGAAGCAAGAAGAGATAGCATCTTGTCAAGGCATTATAGTGTTTTGCCAAGGTGAATATTACTTTCATCCTTTCCATTAGAACTGCCCTTTATGATCATCTCTCCAACCATCCTTTGTTAGAACATTATTCATGAAAACATAAAGATAATTTGTCATGACACTCTTCTTCCAAGATGAGCCAACAGGTTGTGCAGGGGAGTTTCCAACCTCATCATTATCCACAGAGTCTCTTGCTGCTCTGCCTGATAAAGGTGTAATTGTTTAATGATCGAGATAGATGCTGAAAAGAATGAATAACAATCCTTAAAAGCTAAAGTTCAAAGGGAAATGAAAATGAAAGCAACAGCAAAATGATGAAAATTAGAATGGGGAAAGAAAGCATCTCCAAGAACTTAGTACCCTCTTCTACAGACAGCCTCAACGACTTTCAAATTCATTTTGATATTTAGCATGATATATATGACCAAGAATGAATTAGAAAAAAAAAAAAATCGATGTAGTTTTAAATCAAGTGACCAGCCAAATTAAAATGTATAAAAATCTTTAAATGTCTACCCGATGCTGTTTAATGAGATAGGGAGCAACAGAGTTTGGGTTTGGAATACTGATTTGGTCTCCAGCTTCAAAAATCCACAGCCTTAGTCTTTGTTGTTCTTAACAAAGCAGCTTCATTTGTAATTCAGCTCTAGTTTTTAAGATCATCTGGCAAAAATTAAATCCAGAAAGCATCTTGAATCTTTAGAAAATAATACAATAAAGTTGCAGATAAATAGACATTGGCTTCTAAAAATATAACCAGGGATACTTGGTGGGGTAAGGGGCCATTGCACCACATTCTGTCAATTTGAAAATTATATTTTGAATTAAGATAATGCTTTCTAATTTATTTTTGACTACTTAAGTTTAGTAGTTTTTCCAATAAGAACAGACATGTTTTCGCTGTATCACATTCTCTCAAGAACCTATGACGAATGCGTTAGCATTAGTGGGGGAATATCTGTGGAAGATTGCCATGCATGTAGGATTTAGATTCAGGCTTTGGTTGACTTCACTCTTTCTTGAACAAAGACTCAACCCTCAATCCTGATCAGTCACCTTAAAAATTGAAAAGAAGACCTAGCTAAGGTAATATGAAGGAATCTCACAAAGTTACAACTCTGCACACTAATGGTGAATAATTAATAAAGTAAATGTAAACTCTATGTGTGAGTGTGTGTATTTTGGAGGTGAGTAAGAGATGCCTAAAATGACTCGTTAATGTGGTCCAATTTTAAGCATAACATAAACTATTCAAAGCTATTTACTAACTTAAAAATAACTTCAACTTTAGAGAGAATGGAGCCACATATACAAAACAAGAATTATATGACCTCTTATAACCCTATTCCTTTTCATTTGAGGACAAATTTCATATTTGTTACCTGTTACAAAGAACATACCTCAGAAGAAATCACTTGTATTACTAGCAAATCTCTAGAAAACCACTGCATTTCTACTGGATAAATATAGCATTTGCTTATGGTTATGATTTGGTACAACAGTTCCTTTTCCATGTCTATTTGGGAAATTTTTGGTTTGAAAATCATGCATGAGAATAAAGAATAGCCTGGTTTTTACATACCACAATATATTTATTTATTCATTTTTAAATATTTTAAATTAGCTTATTGGGGTGACATCATTTAATAAATTATGTAGGTTTCAGGTGTACAATTTTATAATACATCATCTGTATATTGTATTATGTGTTCACCACCCCAAGTCAAGTCTCCTTCCATCTCCATTTATCTCCCCTACACTCTCTTCTACCTTTTCCTACCCCTTCCCCCTTTCCCTCCGGTAATCACCATACTGTTGTCTGTGTCTATGAGTTTTTGTTTGTTGGTTTTTGCTTAATCCCACACCACAATATATTTAAACCAGACAGCTAGAGAGATTAAACTTAATTCTTAGAGCATAAGGAAACCACATTAAATATACGTCAAGCAGGAGAATGACATGATTGCATTTTTTTTTTCCAGAAAGTTTACTGGTGTTTAAGTAGAGAATGTATTGGAAGGTGTCATCCTGATGAGGATACAGGCTGTTTGAAGGTTACTTTAATATTCTAGGGAAATAAAATAATAATGAGGATCTAGCAAAAATAAAAGCAAATGACTAGACAAGAGAATCTAAATTCCAAAGAAAATTATTCAATAGAATAACCCAGCCTTGGTGATGACATTAGATGTTATGTTAGAGTTGAGAAAATGAAAGACAGATACTCAGGTGAAACCCAGTAAGTTATGGGCCAATAAACTATTTGGAGAATAAAGGAGGAGTGGTCGTCAAGGGTGATGAGTTTAATTTTGATCATGTTGTTTCTGAGTGACATCTTTAAATTTCTGAAAGAAAAACTGTCAACCCAGAATTCCATACAGAGTAAAAATAACTTGTAAAAACTAAGAGAAATAAAGACCTTTGTTCAAACAAATAAAAATGAATGAATTTATTATCAGCAGACCTGCAACTGCAAGAAACATTAAAGGAAGTTCTTCAAGCATGAGATAACAGAGAGCTACTAGAATCTACAAAAGAAATGAAGAGCACTATAAATGGTATAAAGGAAAGTAAATGTTCATTTCACCTTTTCTTGCTTTTAGTGACTATAAAAGACAATTACCTAAAACAAGGGTTGGCACATTTTTTCTTTTAAGGGCAGATAGTAGATATTGTAGGCTTTTTGGGGTGTACAGTTTGTCACAACCACTCAATTCTGCAGTACCATTGACAATACATAAACAAATAGGCATGGTCATGTTACAACAATACTTCATTTGCAAAACTAATTGTTATTCAGAATTTGGTCTGCAGGCCAGAGTTTGCCAATGACTGGTCTAGAGCTAAAAAGTAGCAATGTATTGTATGCTTATAGCACATGAAAAAGAACAACATACAATATTGATAGCAAAAAGGGCAAAGGGAGGAAAGGGGAGCTACTGTTCTTGCACTGAAGATTTTGCATACAATTATGTCACTAAAATATTTGAAGGTGGACTGAGATTAATTAAATGTATATAGTAATTCCTAAGGTAGGCACTAATAATTTTTTAAAATAAGTATAAATAATAAGTCAATAGTGGAGATAAAATGGAATCATAAAAAATTGTGCAATAAATCTAAAAGCATGGAAAAAAAACAAAAACACATGGAATAGATAGAAAACTAGCAAAATATTTGCTTTTAATCCAACCTCATCGATAATCATATTAAATGCTAACAGTTTACACACACACACACACCAATTAAAAGACATAGATTATCAACTTAGATTAATAAAAAAAATACCAAGACCTGACTGTATGTGTCATTATAGTTAAACATAATGACATAGGTAAAAAGTAAAAGGATCAAAAATATATAGCAAGTAAATACCAACCCAAGGAAAACTGAAGGGGCAATGTTAATATCAAACAAACAGACTTTACATCACCAAATACCAAAAGGATATTATGTAATGAATAAATTGGTTACTTCATCAAAAAGACATAACAATCCTAAATGTAAAAGCACCACAACAGAGCTTCAATTGCATAAAGCAAATGAAAACTGAGAGGAAAATCCAGTCCCCAATGGTGCACCTGGAGACATCCACATTTCCTCAGTAACGGAGAGGATGAGTAGACAGGAAACCAGTGGGCATCTAGAAGCCTGAGCAACACTACCAAAAACTTGACCTAATTGACATTTATAACACAATTCTTCCAACAACAACAGGATACTGATATTTTTTTCAAAATATACATGGAACATTCATTAAGATTATAGCCTAGCTCTAAAACAAACCTTAACAAATTTAAAAGAATTAGAATAAAAACAAGTATATTTTCTGACCACAATAAAATTAAACTAGAAATCAAAAAAGATATCTGGAAAATCCCCAAATATTTGGAAATTAAACAATACAGTTCTAGATAATTATATAGATATAATATATATACACACATACAATTATAAATTCTCTTGTTATTCAGAGGTTATTCAGAGGGTATATACATACATACACATTTGAATCAGAATGAAATCACTACACTATATACTAAAGTATGCTTGGAGGAAAATTTATATTATTAAATGCTTATATTAGAAAAGAAGATCTGAATCAATGATCTAAGATTTCACCATATAACTAGAAAAAGAGCAAATTAAAGTTAAAACAAGAGAAGAAGGAAATAATGTGTGTAATAAACATAAATGATGAAGATTTAGTTTCCAGAATATATTTAAAATGTTAGCAAAACAACCCAATAGAAAAACCTATCAAAATATGTAAATAGGTAATTCAAAAATATCAAACACAGATTGCCGAGAAACAATTTATGAGAGTCTCAACTTCACTAGTTATCATGGAAATGCAAATTAAAACCAAATGAGATGTAAGTATATAGCCATCAATAAATTTTTTAAAGTCTCAAAATCTCAAATATTGATGAGGATTTAGGGCAATATAAACTTTTATGCACTGCTGGGGTTCCAACCACAATGGAAAATAATTTGGTAATATCTAGTAAAGTTGAACAGCAATTCCACTTCTAAGCTATATTCTAGAGAAATTCTTGCAAATACATAGCAAAAGACAGAAGAATGTTCACAGCAAATCAACTTCTAATAATAAAATATTGAAAGCAGGCTAAATGCTCATCAATAAGAAAGTAAATAAATGTATCACTATCT